GTACTGAGAGCTTTTCTGGAACTCACTCTATAATAGCACAGAAATCATAGTCAACTGGCCAGCTTCCAATAGAATATAGACCAATTCTATTTATCATCAGAGAGACTGACTTCTCTGAATGATTATCACAAGCACTAAAATATTTCTAAAATGTGGTCAACTTTCTTCTAATACAGACTTTATAAACAAGTTGGCATTCTGGCATGTAATTGTAGAGCAGATTTTTGTAATTTCCTTTCTATACTTTAAGAAGAGTTGGATTTGTCAAGAGACTCACAAACAATCAATCCTACATAAATGTACTTCAGAGAAAGTTTAATACAAAATACAATTCAAATAATGGGATCACAAAATGCAGCACTAATGAAAGGTTAGGGGAAATAGGCGTAATGACTATACTTCTCAGGTTTCCTGGAATATTCCAAATTCCAAATTCCCTGAACCACTCTTGTCATAAACTATTGAAATGACCCAGGGATTTTAATATTTAGTATGCAATTTAGAATTTCCACATAGCTTTTTATATTCAAAAGTTATACAAAAATCCTTTGGAGATTGGGCATTCTAATGATTTAATACAGAATATGAAGTAAATGTGGAAAACAAATCTAGTAAATGTGGAAGCAAAATGAATTTTACAAATGGTATTGATAAATCATGTTTAATGGTTGATAAAGAGAAAAGCAGATGCTGGCATCCAGTGCTGGTCTGGCGCTCACGGCTAGGCTTGGTATTCTTCTGCTGAACATCAATAATTTTAAAGAATACCAATATCAAACAAGACCATTTAGTGACTAAGATGGATGGAGACAAAAAACAAGAGCACTCTCTAATTGTACGGGACACAGACAAATGAATGAACACAAAAATGACTGTCCCTACAGTCTGGCTAATATGACTAACTGCTGCTTGTTTACCAACCACAACTTTAGCTTCACTCTATTCTTCTTGTCGTCTCATTAAGAATTATTAGAAACAGCCCTAACCAGTTTGGCTCAGTGGATAGAGCGTCGGCCTGCGGACTCAAGGGTCCCAGGTTTGATTCCGGTCAGGGGCATGTACCTTGGTTGCGGGCACATCCCCAGTGGGGAGTGTGCAGGAGGCAGCTGAATCGATGTTTCTCTCTCATCGATGTTTCTAACTCTCTATCCCTCTCCCTTCCTCTCTGTAAAAATCAATAAAATGTATTTTAAAAAAAAAAGAATTATTAGAAACATATATGCATAGCCCACGGTCACGAACAATAGTGTGGTGAAGACAGGGGCAGGGCCTGGGAGGAGGTGGGCAAAGAGGTGGGGGGAAATAGGGGATATTTGTAATAGTGTTCAACAATAAAAATAAATTAAAAATAAATTATGCTATGTATAGTTAAAGTTATGTATAAAATAGAAAAAAGTAATTATTGAGATATTCAATCACACAATTATTCCACTTTCTGACAGCATCCTATCCACAAAGCTTCACTTCCTTGGAGCCTCTCCAGAATCACCTAACACAAGACCACATCCTACAATAAGTCCTTTCCAACACCGTCTTACTAAATGTTCCCAATTTCTCATGGTCTGTATTTTCCATTGTTGCAATGAGTCAGTAAACCTAACTTTGTTCAAATATAGGTATGTTCCTGGTGGTCTTTGGGTGAAGGGAATTGATATTATAAATATAGATGTATTGTATTCCAACAGAGAAAACAAATTATGCTAATTTTGCTATAATAATGTCATTAATACCAGTTAAAATATATAATTTCTTCAAAGGATATAACAACTAAAAATTGGATTAATGGTTTTATGGACCAGCATTCAAATACTATCTCTACCTCTTTCTCTTCTTAATTCACCAAACAATTACATTTGAAACTCATGTGAGTAATTGGAATATAAAATAAAAAATCCTATACATTGAAACTAAATAGGTAATAGATACCCTCAGTACCTGTATAAATTCACACAAAATCAATCACAATAAACAAGAAAGGCTAAAACCAATAAAAGAGTGGCATGACCATATCAACTCTTTTTTTAAAAAAATATATATATTTTATTGAATTTTTACAGAGAGGAAGGGAGAGAGATAGAGAGTTAGAAACATCGATGAGAGAGAAACATCGATCAGCTGCCTCCTGCACATTCCCCACTGGAGATGTGCCTGCAACCAAGGTACATGCCCTTGACTGGAATCGAACCCGGGACCTTTCAGTCCGCAGGCCAACGCTCTATCCACTGAGCCAAACCGGTTACGGCCATATCAACTCTTTAAATCACAAATAATGCATATGATAAATTTTAATTTAAAATTTAACATGTTAGGAAGATGCCACGGAACTCCTATATAAGAGTTAGATGTAAGCATTGTGCGCATTAGCAAAAACAAGGGATAAGAATCACCCACTCTGAGAAACCAATCTTCTATTGATTTGAGTCCTCTTGTCTACAGTTAACCACGTTTTGATGACTCTTATCTATACCATGTGAAATGTTACAGACTTCAGTGATAGATAGTGCTTCTCAAACTTTAATGTGCAAGACCACCTAGAGATCTTCTTAAGAGCAGATCTTGACTCACTAGATCTGGAGCAGAGCCCCAGATTCTGCCTTTCTGCTAACTTCCAGTGATGCCAACGCTGCTGGTCCAAGGACCGCACTGAGTAGCAGGGATGTACAAATTAAATGTTATAAGGGCAGGCTAGGAGTTCCTGGGGCTACTGGTCATGCCTGTAATAATTACCAACTGTACTGTTACATCCCACAACAAGCCCCAACTCTTCAGCAAGAGAAGGTTAGCGGTCAACTGTTGGAAGTTCTCTGTAGCCTAAAATTGCCCTGGCAGTAGTGAGGCAGCTGAATAATAAAACTGCATTAGCCACTAGTTATATTCCAAAAGGGCAAAACCAGAACATTTCTTTTCTGAAATTAAAGGCAAAAATAATTCTGCTTTTAATGGGATTTGTAATCACACCTACTGTATATTTGTCTCCTTGGAATTCTATGACCTTCACTTCCCAACATATTTTCTCCACTTCCAATACTTGGTTCAATTCAGTCTTTATATATAATCCATACCCTACGCATTAAAACTCCATATGGTTCCCTTGAGGTTTTGATCAGTTTGCTTTTGAATAATCAAAGACACCAAAAAACTAGAGGCTGCTCAAGGGAGACCGTGGGGGACCCTGTGTCTCCTATGCTATAGCACAGAAGCTAAGAGATGAAAGGGACCTAAGAGTTCATCTAGTCCAGTGAGCCCCCAAAGCGTTTGGTTTGGGAGATGTGATGCTCATGAAGTCTGTGGGAGTGAGGCCGGGCCTGCCTTCGTGTTGCAGATAAACCATCACAGACGCCCTTAGACTAATTGTTGTTCCATAGTCACAGTGTGATAGCTGATGGAACACAGTATGAAACTCTACTCAGGACCTGGACTCAGGTGACCTGGAATGCTAAACTTACTTTTACACTCACAGTAAGTAATTGCAGTAAAGTTTCTGGATCAGTGACTAGAGTAACTATGGCTTAGAAAGACCCAATTTGAGGCTTCTCTGGATTGGCTGACAACGTTAGCCAACTTTCAAGTGTTTTCCCACATGAGGAAATTAGTGGATATTATAATAATAGACATGCTTACTTTATTTGATACATCCTTAAATCTTTTGCTAAGATCTGAGACCACTGCAGATATCAGAGAAAATAAAATTTGACCAAGATCTATCTATCTGAAGGCTCATTCTCATCCTTTCTCAAACCAGTCCTCTGTTGGACTCTTTACTGGAAAATTCCACAAAATGTTGGTTATATAACTTTATTACCCAAATTCTAACTACATAATATACTATACGTGCTCCCAAAACCACAACTAGAAGATATACAAAAATTAAAATACAGACAAGTAAAATAAAAACCAGGGAGGTAATCACACTAAGTGGTTTCTGAGGTTTTATAATTATCATGTGCAAATATCCATCCTCTTCAGTTGACTTCTAGATATAAAAAAAAGATACATAGGAAGAATCTCTTTAATTGAGAAAAATCTGTTTTCAAAAAAGGAGCGCTATCTCCCTTAATCAGTTTTAGTGGTAGAATACATGAATTCTAGAGGAAAAAAAGCCAATTGCCACAATATATAAAAGAGCAAACTAAGATCCAGAAATGTAGAGTAAAACATCTAAAGTATTCAGTTAGCAGGAAAGCCAGAATTGGAAAAAAGTCCATTATTAATTCCAAGACCTGTGGTCTTCCCTCTATATCACAGTATGCTTATAAACTTTAGGGTTCAGTAATAATATCTTGTACATAGTAGGCTCTCTAATGTTCATTGTTGGCAAATATAAGGTATGGTATGAGAATGAGAGTCACCTGCCCTACCCCCACTCAGCTAGACTTGCTGATTTCCACCTGCAAGCTCAGTTGCTCCTTGCTGAGCAAATCAAAGCTGACCTGAGGATACGCAGGAGCTGGAAAGCCTTTTTAAAGTTGGACTCTGCATGCAATGTCCTATCACTGGCCCCTGGGCCCCAAGTCATACAGCTCACTCCCAGGCACCTAGTACCACGTTTGGCACATAAAAGGTGCTCAATAAATAGCAATAACTGTCACTTAAAAAAGTTCAATGCTGGAAAAGAAGCAAATATCTACCTGCAAGGAAAACATTAAATTCAACACTGTTAAATCAGACCCAGGATGATGCTTCTTATTTTTGTTACTGCCTCATGGCACTAAAGAGATCTCTAGAAATTCAATGAGCTAATGCATAGTTCATCTTCTAGCCAAAGATCAAAATAGATGTCCAGATGTTAAAATACAGATCTTTAAAACAAATGCAAAAACATTCTGCTTTTGTACTGAGAAAAAAAATGAGATTTATTTAAGTATAAGAATGAATTATAGCTTTACCATTTACTATAAAGTATACTGATAATCAATTAAGGAACCTATAAAGATAAAAATGAGAAACTCAATACTGTTGTTTCAGTCTATTTTTTTTTAAAAAAAATAGAATGCAATTACCAGTTTGAGGTGGTAAAACTTTGGAATCCTCAGATGTTTTAGTTATAGGTGCAATCCATGGCTTTTCACTCGAAGCTACAGTAGTAAAAAGAAAGGGAATTTGCTGAAGTTTTTTTGAGGAGGACAAAGAAACAGAAATAGGCTGCTGGTATGGTTGACTATGAGAATCCTGCAATGAAAAGCACATACTCATTCTATCAAAAGCCATCGTCTATCAAGAAGAAATTACTACGTTCCCATCCTGAGAGCATGTGATTGGTTAGTGACTAGAGAGAGACCAAAGGCTGGTGTCATACTCTCAATGTTTCTGAGGACAGAAAACTAACTTAATGACCTATGTGGAATTAAGAGAGTGATGATTGATACTAAATTTTTAAAAAACACAATCAGACAAATATGTTTTTTGTTTGTTTGTGTTGCGTTACCAAATCAACCACTTGTCTGGTTAAGTTAATGGAATTCATCAGTTCACTGAGGTTTGCAGAGATAGGACCCAGTGAATGTAGCCTCCAGAATTAAGCAATCATCACCCACATCTTAACACCAGATTTCAGGTGCTGTTATTACCCAAGGCGCCCCCAGGTTTCTCAAAAGGGAAGGGTGTTTTTGCCTGAGGAAATTCTGGAAGTCTTTTCGGAGCTGTAAAGAAACACATAAGAAATGTTATGACTTGAGGTGCAAGTAACAGAAAAGATTTTACTAAAACAATAAACAAACACAGACAGGCAAATTATTCACGTTAAGGGACTGTTAGTAGTATATTTTAATCCTGTGTTTCAACATTGGATGATATAACAAAGCTCCCTTTTCTATTTTTTTTATAACCAGATACTATATTTGAGGAATTTGAGCTTTAATTTTGATTAAACTGGTTTTCTAATTTATTCAGCTATGTGTATGTGTGCTCATTTAGACTCACATCAAGTACCAAACACATCTGAACTAGAAAATGTCCATCTACTAGCATTTAAAAATAGAATTTTGGTAACCACATGGCTTTATAATTAAGCTCACTTCCACCAATAACTTTTTTTTTATACTGCGTTCAATAAAGAAATGAGAAGAATCCTAAACAGCTGAAGGATTTGTTATAGAGACTCTTTAGGACCCTAAATTATAATATTTTATAACATCTAAAAACGTGGTGTTGGGGAGCTGATTGTTTTATAAGCTAAGTGTTTCTTCTTTCCTGTGAGGAGATAAATTTAAATAAATTAGCCTAAGGACGGCTTTCAAGCATGCATAAAATTTTCAAGGTAATAAAAGCTGTAGTATTTAAAAATTTTTACCTAGAGTGCTCAGTGGTAACTCAAACCTAGGTATTAGAATAGTTTGCGATCTTTCCGGGGTCTTTTCGCTGAGAACTAAAATAAAGAAGAATTCGGTTAGCAAATGTATGAACTGGGATTTGATGCTGTGGCTTAACCATATCATGTGACGCGTGCTCACACAGAGTGTGCACCGGCAGCTGATGCCTTTCAAGGACACAGCTGCTTTCCCTGGAAAAGGTGGACAAGGCTGTTCAAATTTGAAAGTGTACTTTCAAAGGGCCGTGGTGTGGCACGGATGGTCAGCATCACAAGTAGAGGACAAAATGCATGCCGCTCCTTTTCTTCGGAAGAGAACCAAGCAAGAATGAGCCTCTTGGGCCAAGAAGCAGCTAACAGGTGTGACATGAAATTCTTATTAGAAAGCGTGACACTTTTGGGGATTCTCCTCGTTTTTAGTACACACAACACTTGGAAAAGCCACTGAAAACGGAAAGCACAGACATAGTCAAGACTTCCAGGTTTCCCGCACCTCTCCAAGCCTCCTGGGATTAAAGGCTGCAATCTGTTTCTCTGTACATCCTACGAGACTGGTGAAAAGGGGGTGCAGCTGGCAGCTAGCGTCCAGCGCTGCCTCGAACATCATTCACCAGGATCAAGGCATGCGATTAACTAATGGAATTGGTCCAAGAAATAGGAAGATTAACTACTGCCAGAAAGGAGGTGAGAGATGAGGGGAAAGGTAAGGTATTGGGTTACTTTTCTTTTCAATGAGTGCTGGGAGGGTTTTGTTTGTTTTAGAAAAAAACTTCTTAGAATTACCCAGTGTTGTTTCTGAAATATCTAATGCACTAGACACAGTGGATTTAGTGGTTCCTGGAACTGAGTCAGGAGTCACTGGAAAGTAAAAAAGACAACTTTACAAATTAAGATAAAACTATGAAATAACCGAAGACCCTAAGACATTGGTGCCCTTTAGAATTAATAACTGACACATAGCTCAGTTACTTGAATTACTTTTCAAGTTACTTATGTTAAGGACTCCAGGGCTTGCTTGCGCCACAGCCTGACCTGACATTGCTCCCAGCTTTTCCTTTCCAGGTTTGGTTCACTTCCCATGTGTTACAAAAAGCACTCTGAACTGACCTCCATGAAAGCACTTATCAGATTAATCATAACTTTTTATTTGTCTGCCTTTTTATTTCTCTTTACCTTCAGGGCTTAGCACAATGTCTGGGGTATAGTAAGCAAATGCATAATAAATGTTTATTAAATGAATTTATAAATGGGCAAATAAAACAATGATCCAGGGCAAAAAGGTTTATTGAGAACTATTACATTCTCTGATTTCTCTCTTTCAAACTGCAGTCAACATGCGGAGGTTGGAACTGGGTTGAAATTATGATAAGGATGCATATGCTCAGCCACAAGGTGCTCTAATTGCTAGGTCAAAAGCAAAGACCACCTCAGCTAAATAGTTTTCAAGAAATAAGAACCAGGATCACTGAGATCTGGAGTGAACTGGGAGCTAGACAATTCTAGAAGTTTTGCAGGGTTAAGGACTTGCAGTAACACAATAACACTGAATAGTAAGTTATGCTGTTTAAGTGTTTCTGAAGTGGGAAATTGTGAGGAAGATTTGGAAGAGAACTAAGAAATCTATAGACTCTTCCATGAGATAATGTGCCAAGAGAAGAAAGTATAACTGGGCAGAATCTTGGGGGCAGAAAAGAAGTTGGAGTCATCCACTGGGTCATGCCTATGTTTTTATTGGTATTGAACAATTATATTGAAATCAGAAAAGTACCTAGGAATTTCATTCAAATAGATGATTTCAGCTTCCTGAATAGCTTTTACGTCTGCCCCACCTGCCATGAGGTGAGGGATGGAAGGTCCATCTCTCTCCTTTAGGCAGAGCCACATACTTCTTGCTTTGTCAGAATATCCCTATTTGAATTGGTTTCTTGAAATCACATTATTTTATTTTTCCACCAATGTTTAATTTCTCTGGACCAGTTATGAGTCTAAGAGTTTAGTACAAGGTAAATACCACTAATACTTCAACTTGTAGCAATTTTATAGATTAAAATTTTTACTTTAGATTGGAGTTACTTCGCTAAATGTGGATTTGGGGAAATTCTTGCCAGATGTTTGCTTCACTGAGTCCTAGATGAGGTGGTATTGCTCTGGCAAAACTCTGTAGTTCAGAGAATAATGTGTCCCCAGTGGGCAGTTCATTCATAGAAGAAATGCTGAATGTTTGTTAGTAACGGCCGATAAACTGTGGGGAAAATGCACTCCACATTTATTCTTTAAATAATTTTTACCGAACTATTACATATTATCTATATTGGGATTTTTAATCTTCCAAAGACATTGCTGCTAAATGACATAGCTCGCAAGCTATGGATTTGTCAAGGTTAATGATGGCATTTTGCTCAAATGACCACTTGTGAAAGTGGAGAAATGAAAAATGGTCTCATGTCTTCACATAAAAGGAAAACACCAAAACCAGGCATTGCGTTTTAGTATAGGATTATTTCACAATGTTGAGGTAATAACTTTCACTTAGAGTGAAAAATATAGTTTCCATATTACATATTAGTTATATGATGCAGTAGTTCATTTTGTAGTTGTTGTTTTTCCAGACATTAGATTAAGGACCTAGAATCACATCACCTATCGTTTTGTGCTAATGATCGAAATGAATTTCCTACTGGCTCTTCACTGGAAAAAAAGTACAGCCTTGTCAATCATTTACTATTAGAAAAATATTACTTATTGTAAGTGACCAATACAGGGATCTCATTACCTGTTATGGGCTGTGCTGGGATTTTTTCTACCTTTGGTGTTTTAGATTCAGCTGGTAATGCCAAAGTTTCATTCTTAGCTAAAAAAAAAAAAAAGCCAGAGAACAAACAGTTTACCTCACTTCCCTATAACACAGTGTCCAAATACAATTCATTCAAAACATAATCAAGTAACAGACTATTTCCAAAAATCTATTCTGCTTTTATCTCTTCCCACCAGGCAGTCAAATTTATTGTGCATTTCTACCAGGGATTAGCATGAATAGATGACAGTGTTCAGAATCCTTTTTTGTTACCCTTAGTAATTAAGATCTAAGTTGGCATTGGAATGAAGGAATAAATCACAACCCAACACTTGGATAACTCTCAAGTCATTCTTATTCATAGAGTTTCTGGAAGGCATATGTTGCATTGCAAATACTCACTGGAATTTTATATTGAAGTACTCCTACTTTTTAAAAAAAATCAATGAATAGAAAATTTCCATTATTATGCATGGTAAAACATGCAATAGGTTCAGACACTGAAATTTTTAAAAAGCACAAGTAACAAACTTGGGAAACTAACTTATTTGAAAATACTTGTGGCAAAAAAAAATACCAACAGTAATTTATTTGAGCCATGTGTTAACAAATACCTATTGTTTTGGTCACTGAGGGGATTCAGTGTAAAGATTAAAATAGATTTTTTTCCTTCTTCAGACAACTGTTCAGGAAACTTCCTTCTAAAATGTAGGTATTTTTTTTCAAAGAAAGTACATTTCTATACCAGAGTTTCCCAATGATTAAGATATTCCCCATTTTAAAAATGCACCAAGGATTAACTTGAGTCAGCTATTTCACACACAAAATCAATAACCTACTTATAATATTTTGAAACAGTCTAGTGGCATGAAAAAATTAATTAATCATTGAGACACCCTGATCATGTATGTCACTTTGAACTGATCATAATTAGATGGGATTTTGTAGAGTCCAAAGGCTGTACAGGAACTTCTTGGGTTCCTCAACTTTGGCACTATTGACATTTTGGGCTGGATAATTTTTTGGTGTGAGGCTTTCCTATGTTGCAGGATGTTGAGTAGCACCCCTGGCTTTTACCACTGGATTCTACTAGCATGTACATAGTGGTGGCAGCCAAAAATGTCTCCAGACATTGCCTAATTTCCACGGGGGTACAAAACTGCTCTCTGTTGAGAACAATTGATCTAACCTGTTCTCTCAAGGTTCTTTGAGGATGCAAATTTTATAACTTCCTTTTGTAGTTCACATTCCTGCTATAAAGACCATTTTCTTCTTTACAGTTGACATGGGCATGACATATATATTTACTTGTGGTGGACAAAGGCAGTTATAAAGTCATCCCTTTCACAATGATGATAGAAGCCAATCAATTTTTAATCTGCATTATGGAAACATTCAATAGATTCCTACATAGAGCTGGTTATTTTCAGGAATAACTTAAAATGCTAGAAATAGGTATCACGCATGCTATGTACTTGCCATATCATATCTAATGGCCATGTGTGTGCTTTGGATTCATGAGCACATGAAGTTGTACAGCATGTTTGCACAGCAGAAATGTTTGATATCATTGTTCAAATTGATTTAGCAGGGCATAGAGAGAGAGAGGACTCTATTTCTAGAATAACTAAAAATGCCAATCCAGTATAATTTTACAAAATAATCCTATTTTTGAAACGTCTAAGTTTGATCAACCCTTTTTCCTGCCCTTTGTTGTAATCCCAGTTTTTGTTTAGAACCACTGTGATTGTTAGCACAGGAAAAACCACTCAGGTTACAAATTTTTATGAGCCAAGTTCTGGTTCTGTTATTTTCAGGATGTGCCATAGGAAGGTGTTTGCTTTCATTTTTCAAATATAAGATTATAAGGTTTCTCTTTAAGGGTCTTTTCTTTCTCAGTGTCCTCTGATCCTTTAGGATATGTTTGCTAATCCTCTCCTCCCTGTGTAACATCCTGTGTTCTTGGTGGTTGCCAGGGTGACTAGGACTATTTACTTACTAACTTATTTTAACATTTAGACTTTCATGAATGCTCTAAATTGTGTTGCTTTCGCTTCTTATATTCTAAACATGCCCTTAGCTGGCAATCACCTTCGCCTAAAATTAGGCTGAAAAGAAGAAAAAAGGGTAAACTATGTTCCCAAGAGAGAATTGTATTCTTTACACATTACCAATTCCTTACAAAGGCATATTGTATTTCTAAATATTGCCTTTCAGAATCAGAGAAATTGGTAGATGGAGAAATATTTAAATGGGGGGATTTTATGTTTCCTATCAAACCCAAACATTGTACATCATCTATGTACAAGTGCAGTCTTGGCACTAGTGGAGCAAAATCCCATCAGAATGACCTAAAACCCGGGAAATTTCTTTTCCCTCTCTGATTCTTCTGTACCTTTTTTCCAACACTGTTGTTTCCGTTAATTTTTGGCAAGCTAAGTCTTGACTTTGGCAAACCCTACGTATATCCCTTGGCGATGTGGGTGTAATACTAATTTTCTTGTTTATATCTCTCATTATTCACACCATGTGTTCTTAGAACAAAAGCTAGTAATTTCTCGATGTCCCATGATGGATGCTGCTGGAATGAGGATATTATTTTTAGGATTTACCCCATCAAAAAATTGGACTTTTCTGAATTGTGGTGATAAATAACCCCAGGAAAGTTTATTTCTTCCTCAGTTGTATAAAGAATTGCTTATGTCTGCATTAAAAAATTACAGTATATTTAAAATGTAATTTTTTAAATACAGTCTGTTAAGATGTTACATTTGATGGATTTACTGTACATTTTCAAACATACTATCAATCTCTTCAATGCATAAAAAATTGCCAGTGTTAAATTTGACAGGTGTTTTCCCAGAAATACAAGTTAAAAGAGATATTTAACTATTCGCATACCATTTCTTCTCTATTAAAATTACAATCCTGAAGGTTTAGGGAATTATATCAGAAAAACAAAATAAAAACAAAACAAAATCCCCAAAGCTCTGAAGTAAACAAAACACCTGAATTGATATTAAGGTAGCATGTGGAACTTTGCAAAAACCAAAAGGAAATATCACTCAAGACTAAGGACTAGGTCCGGCAGTGATGGTGAACCTATGACACGCTTGTCAGAGGTGACACGCGAACTCATTTTTTTGGTTGATTTTTCTTTGTTAAATGGCATTTAAGTATATAAAATAAATATCAAAAATATAAATCTTTGTTTTACTATGGTTGCGAATATCAAAAAATTTCTCTATGTGACACGGCACCAGAGTTAAGTTAGGGTTTTTCAAAATGCTGACACGCCGAGCTCAAAAGGTTCGCCGTCACTGGACTAGGGAATAAAACATCTTCTAATTCAAAACTGACAGCAATGGTCTGGGGGAAAAAACTGCTCATTTTCAGTCTCCTTCACATCCTGGGTTTTGTAGTTTTGAGAGACAGATTAGGGACCAAATCAATAAGAGATTGGCTGGCTCCTTTTTTTCTCTTTCAAAACAAGTTTCCAGGTGAGGAGCAGGGCAATATGCAGGCTCTAGACAGAGAACAGGTGAGTGCAAAAGTCCTGAGCTCCAATTCCAAACACAGGTTCCCTGAGGGCATTTAATTTGGAAGCGTCCTGGTTTTGAGCACAGTGTACAGACGATGTGGAGTTGAGTCACAGGGTTTTACAGTTAAAAGTGAGATGATGAAGCCTGATGTACAAATTAAGGATATGAAGCCTAGGGTCACAAGTCTATGTCCGTGAAGGTAACTCATTCTAGTACTAACAGCTATGAATATTTTACAGTAAACATGTAAGGATTGAACAAAATCACAAAGATTTACTGGCAAGTATTTTAACATCTTAAGGAAATGGTGATGCATAAGCTTTGAAAATTTTTCTAAAACTGTAAGGCTAATAGACCACCTATTAAGTGTTCTTTACCCACTTAAGCTTTGTTCCTTCTTCTTCCAGGAAGGTCTCAAAATTAACAGCTAAGGAGAATTTAGGAGTTCCTAATTTTTAAAACAGATACAGTCTGATTGCCTACCATCAGAAAACAAATAGGTTAGGTCTCCAACAAGGGAAACATAAGTCTGAGGTCTCAGTATGAGCTGTGTAGCTCACCATGATAGGCCCCAGAAACGTGCTATCTGGCACAGAGTAATGCTTAATAAGTATTTGTTGATTGAGTGCTACCAAACAGGGGCTTGGGCCTCTGTTTTTGCATCCATGCAATGTGAAGAATCGATTATGTAAGTGCTGAAGTTCTCAGCTAGTGCCTACTTTAGGGAAAATATTCTGCATTTTTAAGTCTTGTTTTAATTTCTATCACATTACGCCATCTCCTTTCATATTTATCAATAGCCCAAGACATTCTCCAGTCAAAGTATGGTTTCCAGACCAGCAGCCTCAGTATCACCTACTGGTAAGGAAGGCAAATTCCCAGGCCCCAGCTCAGACCTACTGAATCAGTAACCCTTGGGGCGGGGGGAGGGGGGCTGCAGTCTGTGTTCACAAGCTCTCCAGGGTGTGTGATGCTTGATTAAGTCTGAGTATCAAACTAATTTGATACTCAAATGCAGCAACTAAGCCCAGTGACCAACATTGTTCCCTGAGCTCCCTTTAAAAGGTTTTGCTGTTGTTTTCCAAATTGTTATGTTTTTGTTTGTCTGTTTATTTTTTATGTTTTTTAAACACTGAAATCATAGCAGGTTCTTTCTAGAAGTAAGAGGCAGTACCAATCTCAAGTAAATAATAATGCTAACAGTCCTGACCTTTATATCAGTTCTTATAGAAAGTATCTAGTGGTCCCTTGATAGTGTACTAAGTATAATTTATAACAATTACTTTATTTGAAAATTATATAAATGTGTGTATTTTGGATAATTTGACAAATGTTCACTCTTCTTTTATAAATGTATATTTATTTGATATTTTGTATAAATATAAAATAACTACTTCCCTATAGAATGTGATTTAATACCTTCAATACTCCAACTTCTCTGCCTCTTACTTTCCCCCCAACTTCTTAATAATGGTAAAATATATATAACATAAAGTTTATTATCTTAACCATTTTTAAATCTAAAGCTCAGTAGTATTAAATCTTATATAATAAAGCCCTAATATGCAAATTGACCAAAAGGCAGAACTCCTGGCAGGAACGACCGGTCACTATGACACACACTGACCACCAGGGGGCAGACGCTCATCACAGGGGCTCCCCCCTGGTGGTCAGTGCGCTCCCACAGGTGGAGCGCCACTGAGCCAAAAGCCAGGCTCATGGCTGGCGAGCGCAGTGGCAGTGGCGGGAGCCTCTCCCGCCTCCGCTGCAAGTGGGCGATAAGGAGCGAGGGGCCCCAGGGGGATTGGGCTAAGCCAGCAGGCGGACATCCCCCAAGGGGTCCTGGACTGTGAGAGGGTGCAGGCCAGGCTGAGGGATCCCCCTAAGTGCATAAATTTCATGTACCAGGCCTCTAGTATTTTCATAATGTTGTACAACCATCACCACCACCTACCTTCAGAACTCTTATCATCTTATAAAACAAACTCTGTACCATTAAACACTAACTCCTCAATCCTCTCCTCCCTCCAGTCCCTAGCAACCATCCTTCATAGTGTATTGATCTTTTTGTAACTGGCTTATTTTGCTCAAGGTTTATCAATATTGTAGCATTCGTCAGAATTTCCTTTCCTTTTAATGAAATATTCCATTGTATGTATAAACCATATTTTGCTTATTCATTCATCTGTTGGACACATTAAATTGCTTCCATGTTTTAGCTACTATGAATAATGCTACTGCAAACATGAGTGTACAAAATACTTCTTTGAGAAATTTTCAATTCTTTTGGTTATATACCCAGAAATGGAATTGCTGGATCCTATGGTAATTTTATTTTTTTGAGGAGTGGTCATATTGTTCCCATAGCAGCAATACCACTTTACATTCCTATCAACAGTACATATGCCTGTCCCTTGCTTTTACTTTGAGATCCCAAATAGCCTATTTTCTAGGTTCCTTGGATATTCTAAGAATATCAGTTCTAGTACTTGGTCACTGAAAGTTCAATCATAGAACTTTGATGCTTACCTAATTGTGTCTTGATTGCATCTGAAATCTCAAACATTATGGATGTAGGAAGTTTTACGGTGGTTTCATTAAGACCAGGAATAACAAGGTGGACTGCAAGGAAACAGAAGTAAAGATGAAAGAAAGAAAATGCATCATGACATAAAATAAAGCTCAGAGTGGCAGATAGTAGTAAATATTGAGTTTAGCACTTATTTTGCTTAGTCATTTTTAACCCCAACTTTAAAATGTTGGAAAAAATATTACAGTACCTTTTACATAGAATCTTTTTCTTATTAGGAACTGAACTACCAAAATACTCTGGCTTTTAATCCATAAACTTAAAAATTGTAAAATGGATGCTTAAGATGTGTGGTGAACAAAGGACACCACTATTAATAATACATTTTTAAAAGAGAAGTTTAATATGACAAAGACTCCTTCATAACTGCAACAACCCTGTGGGGTAGGATGGGTTCCATCGTTCCCACTAGGCATGAGCTAGATAGAGTTGTTTCTCAAACACATTGGGATAGAGGTAGCATCTCTTGGCTCCTAGCCTGGAATAAACACAGCCGGGATCCTAAATATTGAAAGGAAATGAATCAACATCAATTTAACAGATCTACTCACAGTGCAAAATTCCATAAAAACTCTATTAAAAAAATAGCCTGACTTTCTTAATCTTGATATAGAGTTCAAGACTGACTCACCCAGTATTGTTCCTCCAATGGGAGTCCTATCTGGGGATTTAGTTGAAGCTCTGTGAGTAACATTCTGAATCACTGTTGAAATACAAAAAGAAAATAGTGTGTGTTGGGGGGAAATAGTCAGAAAGCAGTAAGAAGCTAATAATGTGAATTCATCTGCACTGAAGAAGCACTGATCTAACTTTTCAATTAATAAAAAGGAACTCATTGGGTTGACTACACAGCACATCTTACCTTAACACCAATCCCTATAAGTACTGAAAGGCTATTATTACATTATCATAGAGTGTTCTATTCTAAGGAGCTGACAATTTCCTAAAGAACTAGCACAAAATGAGGCAATGACCTAATAAATTAAAAAATATATATTCTCAAAGTAAAGAATCATTGGATAATTCCAGTACTAATTGACCCTACTTTGAGAGTATACTTGTGACATTATTTTCTTAAACTGAAGAACAATTTTAAGTCCTCAATCTCTTCTACCAAGAAACTTTCTGAACCTAATAAAGTGGGCCTGGAGAGAATTATGCTAAGTGAAATAAGCCAGTCAGAGAAAGATTATCACATGATCTCGCTCATATGTAGAATCTAATGAACCATATTAACTGATGAACAAAAAATAGACCAGAGACATAGAAGCATGAACAGACTGTTGAACCTCAGAGGGAAGGCAAGGGAGGGTGGATTGGAAGAGATCAACCAATGAATTTATATGCATATATGCAAACCTGTGGACACAGACAATGGGGTGGTGAGGGACAGAAGTGGGCTGGAAGAGGTTACTGAGGGAAAAAGGAGGACCTATGTAATACTTTCAACAATAAAGATTTTTTAAAAATGTTAAAAATAATAATTTGAAAAACTGAGAGTCAAAACAAAAACAACTGGATAATGAAATAAAATAAGACATTATAATTCTTGAAGCCTGGATGTCTTACCTTTCCCTAAAGTTTTCATTTCATTAATTCATATCCTATGAATGATTTTATTCATGTTTGCTAGCTTAACACTAAACTAAGCCACACATATTTAATGGGCTTTTTAGAATTGAATACTTATGACTGCTTTGTCTCTGATTATCCAAACAATGTGACTTGCCAGGACTAGGCCTATTGGTACAAGAGCCAAAATTACCTATTAACTTCTAAGTTACTAGGCCATACTGATTACTTCAAACATTTTCTGAAAAACAATAATCAGAGAAGTTGAGAAAAAATGTGTTATGTTGAATGATCTGAATTAAAAAGTATATTAAAATAGTTATAAATACATATCCAGAGCAGACTTATAAAATTACCTTGCTTGATGATTGTTATTGGGATCAGCTTCCTTGGGACATATGCTGGCTGAAAAAAGAGGAAGAATCAGTTTTTGAGTTAGTGCTAATAAAATAAAAGAAGAAGAACTGGAAGTAGCCCTTTCTTGTCTTTAATGAAGCCTCCCATGACACTGGTTTAACAGTTGCTAGAAAGATCTTTGGTACATATATATCTGTCTCTACTTTATTGGACAACCTCCTCCCATAAATGTCCAAAGATTTGACAGAAGCAATTTCTTCAGAACTCCCATTCGTTTACTTAGAAACTGCAATGGAAAGAAACTAAATCTTCTGGGTTGAATACTAGTTAATTTTCACTTTATTTCAGGTGTAACCTGTCAAACTCTGCCTTTACATTCTCTCTCATATAGATGTTAAGCTACATATTATCTTTCTAAACCAAACAACATCGATTGTTTGAGTGCACCCACTTGCTGTCACTGCTACCACACAACTACTACACACACACACACACACACACTCACACCATGAGCTCCTGACACCACACATTTCCTTGCCCAAGAAGGTTGAGCTTGGAATCAAATCTAGACATTTCTACTTCCAAAGCCTGTACTCTTAACCATTCTGTACATATTTATGCACAAGGGACCTCAGAATTAGAAGGGCGGTTCTCAGGAGACTGTGCACTTTATCTCTCCCAAATTGCCTCAGATGTCCCACTGGGAGTTTTAAAATCATAGACCTACTTGAACTAGGAATGGGTATAGTGTGAACTTTAAAGGGAAGTCATCACTGTGAGCCAAGGATAAGACAGCCAAGGAAGGGACATGGGAACAAAATAAGAGAAAGACAACAAGTGATATAGAGAAGAATTAGGTTGAGTTACAGAGGTAAGCATGACAACAATTTCTTTTTTTAAAAATTGATTTCAGTAAGAGAGAGAAACATCGATGTGAAACATCAATTGGTTGCCTCCCACATGCACCCTGACTAGGGATCAAACCCTCAATATGGTATGTGCCCTGACCAGGAATTAAACCCACCACTTTTGGTGCATGGGACGAAGCTCCCACCAACTGAGTCACATCAGCCAGGGAGACATAAATTTCTTGATGTTTAAAGTGCATACATAATACAGATATTCTACCTACTAGACCTGTTGATAAATTAGGATGTGCTGAATGAAATACTTACAACATAATTGTGAGCAAAAAAGACTAACATGTTGCCATTTTAATAAATGACCTTTCCATAATAAAGAAGTGGCATTATACCAAGCTTACTGTTGGCTATTTTCTTCTTGTATTAAGGTCCTTATGTTTAAAAATAAATAAATGAACAAAATTGACTATCATCAGATTATTTTAAAAAATAATCTACCTATTGACTCAGAGCTCTAGACTGAATGCTGTGCCCCTCCTAACTCATATGTTAAAACTTACTCCCCAATGTGATGGCATTAGAAGGTGGGGCATTTGAGAAGTGATTAGATCATAAGGGTGGAACCCTCATAAATGGAATTAGTGCCCTTATAAAACAGACCCCAGAGAGCTCCCTCCACCCTTCCACCATGTGAAGACAGCAAGAGGATGGCTGGTTGTGAACCAGGAAGTGAGCTCCAACAAACCCCAAACCTGCCAGTGCCTTGATCTTAGGTCCCCAAGCTTCGAAATGTGAGAAACAAATGTTTCCTGCTTCAGCCACCCAGTCTATGGTATTTTTGTTATAGTACCCCTAATGGATTAAGACGCCCAGCAACCTAGCCTAAGGAATTAATCGAAGATACAAATAATCTTTTATGTGTAAGGGTGTTTATTCCCCAATGTGAAACAATCTCATTATCCAAAAACAGAGGTTTTATTAAATAAAGTATGGTTTGAGTTTTTGACATCTATTTAATAAAGTAGAAACATATGCATGCAATAAAGACAAATGATACAAATTTGTAACCACAACATAACCTGATTTTATAACAAATATGTATAGATAAAAGGCCAGAAGGAAATAGATCATAGTTTTTTTAACAGTAGTTTTTGGTTTTTTTGCTGTTAAAAGAGAAATTCTATTATGTAAGAAACTTATAAGACAATAAAGTAAGGAGGTTGTGTGGTAGATAGTAAAGAGGAATAGATTCAACATCAAGAATTCTGACTTACGAATAGTAGTTATTTTTATAAGCTGATAGTAATTTTATTTCATATACCTTTCTCTATTTTCCAAATTTCTTACATGAATGAAGTACATTTATAATTAGAAAAAGTTATTTTAATCAACAGTCTGTTCAGTTCCTACATATGCTCCTGCACTGCATAGCTTGTATACTATTGGCAAAGAGAAAATATTGTAAATATAATTTGTATATGATTTTTCCCAGGCAAGGGGCGGGAGGAAGTAGGAATAGAAGCATAACCTTCAGGAGGAGAGAGAAAAAAATCTCAGCTTTGACGTTGCACTGGCAGTAGGATGTCTTTCACCCTTTTCATAAGAAAATTAAGTATGAGCACTTGTACACAGGAGCCTTCCCCAGAGAGGGAGTCAGCCCATGGCACTGCCTCATGTGTCCAGTTTACTTCCACCTGCCCTGCTCCAGTGAAGGGTTGACAGTCCATGGCCTCTATCATTTCTCAGAATTCCAAATGCCTGCTGCAGCGACCTCCAGTCACATGGAGCACTTGCCAGAGGAGCCACACCATCTTCGCGGGCATGAACAATGGTTTTTGTGAGAGCTGTGACTACAGCGCCAAAGAATTTTGAATGCTTTGTTTTACTGAATGTGATGCCCGTTTTGCTGAATGTGAAGTTTTTCAGAGAGACATCACATTATAGCAGAAAGGCAGCATGTCGCTGGGTTGAGCCTTTGAGTTGCATTATTCCGATTGTAATTTCTTTTGCTGTGATGATTTTTTTAAAACAATTTTTTTACAAGGACAAATGGAAAATATTTCACTCTTCACATGGGCGGAACAGTTTCTCTTTGAGTTCTTACTTGAGTTAGACCCATGTTCTACTGAGAGGATGGAAAGACTATATGTACAATATGTGCTGCCAAAAAACAAGGAAATCATTTAGCTGCAGAATCCAATTATTTTTATTCTTTTTAGACCTATAATTACTCTCTCGCCTAATCTGTAATCCAAAGATGCTCCAAGATTGGACTATTGAGCAGGTAGCTGCTTTTCTGTAAGCAGGTTTTAAAGGGCATCAGGAGAGTCCCTGTGTGTCTATGTTGAAGGCACTAAAATTCCCAAGAAGAAATCCATACTGTGAATCCTTTCCCTGTGTTTTCTTATAAAAGTGTAGGGAAATGTCTGTTACCTGGACTCATTGGAAAATGAAATATTGTGATAATTTCCAAGTTTAACCAATTGCAACCCAAGTTTAATTGAATTGTTTCAGGAATAGTGTTTTTGTTTGCTTGTTTGTTTAAAAGGTACCAGTAATTTGAACCTGCCATTTCAGACTTGCTGTTATGAACATCTATCAATCTGTATAAAACTCATTGCAGCAGGTGGGGGGCGTGGGGGTCGGGGGCGAGGCAGTGAGAGTCCCACCGGCTGCTGCACAGTTGAGCTGGTGTGGCCTCAGCAGAACGTGAAGTCTATGGACACCATCATGGTGCCCGTTTTCTTTCTTAGGTCATTTCCTTGCTGATTCTTTTCTCTGCAGCTTGCTGACCCCCATTCCTGCTGCAAACCTCCATCTCCACTTCCTTCCTTAGCTCTCACCCTGCCATTCAGCAAGTACTTTTCAAACATTTGCTATATACCAGGAAGTAAGCATATTTTCTTCCTGTTCTATAAGGATCCATTATTGTGTTGTGTTTTTTTTTTTTCTTTCTGAGTTTCCAGATATTCTGTCCCTTGAGAACCCAGGTTGTAATATGTTTTGAGCAGGGTGACTGATTAAGGGAATTCACTTTTACCATCTTTCTGGGAACATTGTGGCTGATTACCCAGTTGGTGAGATTCAAGAGAGAAATTGATACTGAAGAGGTAAAAGGCAATGCCCTGATGACCAATTCAGCTTTTTCATCCTGATTAGGGAAAGCCTATGCTTGTCCAGAAATAACTATACTAGCAGGCGCCACGCGGGACGAGGGACTTCCAATCCACGCTGCATTGTACTAACTTCCTCCTGGTGCTATTTTGAAAATTAGCTTTAGTACAACTAGTGATGGTACCAGGATGCTATTCTTTGCAGGTTATTCTTGAGAGGTTTGTCAATTTGGTATTATTGTGGTCTCAGAATATTCACTGTAGATTGATTTAACTTGATGTTCAGGTTCTGAGATAAGGAGGAGCTGTCCATTTGGGCAGTGGCTAAGGGTTGCTTAAAGTTAAATTTCAATGACTCACAAACCAAACCATATCAGAAGAACTTGGGCATGTTACATTCTGGTTTTAAATCACTTGGGGATACTCTAATGAAAGTTACAAAACCTACTGATTCAATCTAGCATCTGGTGAAAAGTGAATCTCACATTCTACTTATGAAAGTCTTCATATTTCTAAGAAGCTAGGGAGGAATCAGACATAAACCTTTGGTGATATCATTGGCCTAAATATAATTTTTTCAAGTTTCTGCTTAGGACAACAATTTCTAATAATGGAAGGACACCTGATGTATTTACTGTATACAATCTCAAGGTATGGGTGGGGACCATAAGGTATTTCTCTCTATTCACTTTACTTGTCTGTAACTTTATACTTTAAAGGTTGGCACCACATCTCTTGTTACCAATAATAGATGTGGCTTTTTAAAAAGATGGGTGGATCTCTGATGGGAAAAATTTAAGGGTAAAAATAGATGTCATATATAAGGGCAACACTGACTCTAAGGAGATTTGGATTAATTAAGCTTCTATTTTAAAGTCTCAGTTAATAAATGCTACCTAGCCCTGACCAGTTTGGCTCAGTAGATAGAGCGTCCGCCTGTGGACTAAAGGGTCCCAGGTTCGATTCCGGTCAAGGGCATGTACCTTGGTTGCGGGCACATGCCCAGTAGGAGGTGTGCAGGAGGCAGCTAATCGATGTTTCTCTTCCATTGTTTCTAACTCTCTATCCCTCT